TCTGGGCAGCAAAGAGGAGCTACCCATGGTTACCCAGGGTCTGGCTTAGGTGCCCACAGTGACTCTGGGAAGCTCTAGACCAGCGATTCTCAACCTGTGGGTCGCGACCCCTTTGGGGGTTGAAGGACCCTTTCACAGGGGTCGCCTAAGACCATGGGAAAACACATATATAATTACATATTGTTTTTGTGATTCATCACTGTGCTTTAAGTATGTTCAATTTGTAACAATGACAATACATCCTGCATATCAGATATTTACATTATGATTCATAACAGTAGCAAAATTACAGTTATGAAGTAGCCACGACAATAATTTTATGGTTGGGGGTCACCACAACATGAGGAACTGTATTAAAGGGCCGCGGCATTAGGAAGGTGGAGAACCACTGCTCTAGACACTCAGGAGGATCCAATGCTTGTGACCCCCCAGGTGTGAGTGTGTAAGTGACCGGTCAGCCTCCTAGGGGGTGTCTGTGGAGTCCTCCAAATGAGACCAGTGCAGCTGGGAGGATAGAGGCACACTCCCACTCCACTGAGATCCTCGTCCGTGCGTTTATTCATCCTTCCAGGGCTATAGTCCCAGAATAGGTGTTCAATACATGTGTGTTGGGAGAACAGAATTGTTCCATACATTCAACAAACATTAATGAGCACCGACTGCTCCTAGCTCTGTGCTAAGAGATATCCATCAAATAAATGGCCTTGACAACCCTCTCCCAAGATTCCCAAGCTGCCTCTACATCCTCCTCACTCTTCTTACTCCCAACCCAGCTTCCACGGGCTGCCATGCTCCCAGCATCAGGACTTTTCCCAGAATCCAGGGAATGCCCAAGAACCCCATGCTTCATGGGCTCTGGGAAGGTTGCACCCCACATCCACAACTCTCCAAATCCTCCCCGTCTTTCCTGTCCCAACTCCAGCAACCCTTCCCCACCGCTCTCAAACTCTCAGACTCAGCCATCTCCCCCCTCCCAGTGCCCTATATCTACCTGGGGTTATACCTGGATGTACCAGCAGGTGGCGCCCAGGCCGCCTCTTCTCCAGAGCTGGACTGGACTCCAGACCCCACTAGGACCCTGTGTGTCCCTCCTCCTTCTCAGCAGGGACAGGAGTGGGCTCTGTGACCTCTAGATAACCCCTCTCCTTCCTGTTGGCTCCTGCGAGGAGACCTAAGGAGACTCCAGTTGCTCCCGCAGGCCCCGGGCTGTCTTTTCCTGCCTGGTGGGTGAGGGGGTCCCTAGGGGCCCAGCTGCAGCTGGTGGGGCGGGGCCGGGTGGGGCGGGGCAGAACGCAGCTGTCAGAGAGAGAAAGAAAAGAGAAAGGAGAAAAAGAGAGAAAGAAAAAAACGAAAAAGAGAGAGAGAAGAGATAAAAGACAGAGAGCAGTGCTCTGGTTCCCAGGTTCCTATCCCACCAGACAGACTGACCAGGGGACTGCCCTCTGGACCAGGGTCCCAACTGAGACTTACCCGAGGACAAGGTACGTGGCTGAGGAAGCAGATGGGGCGGGGGAGGGTCAGCGGCCAAGCAGAGCAGGCCCGGGGGGCTGAGGGGCTGGCTAGGTACATCCCGCTGCCCGGCAAGACCCCCTGAGCCCCTCCCCAGGAGGCCAGGTAGAAAGGAGGCGGTGCACGGAGTCCTTGGGGTGAGATTGGACGAGGGCTCTGTGGCTGCTCCTGCCTCACCGTGCGGATTTGCACCGAGCTCTTTCCATCTCGGGACCCCAGTTTCTCCATCTAAAGGGGGGCGGGGGGAGGTCTTGAAGATGGTTCTGTGGGGTAACTTGGCAAGGTGTCCCCTTGCGAAGGCTTAGCCCTTCCAGGGGCCTCTGGGAGACCAGAAGGCCTTTCCTGTCGGACAGTGGGGGGAGGTGGGTGGCCCCTCCGTGTCAGGGGCCCTCGGGCCCTGGCCTGTGCCTGTCTCCTCAGCCTGTTTCTTAGGGACTCCGGGTGCAGTGCCGGAGTGGGGGTGGGAGTTGCCCTGGCTGTCTGGGGTTCAGAGATCCTTTGGGACAGGACGGTGAGTGCTGGGTGCTTGGGTGCCTGGCGCTCCAAGATCAGAAAAGAAGTGGATTGAGTAGAATGGTGTGTGGGACTGAGGTAGGGACTGTAATGGGGATATGGGTGTCCCAAGGTAATGAGGGAGGGGTCATCCAGCCCTTTTATTAACCGTGGCTGCTTGCCCTGGCTCCAGAGCACTTTAGAGTCATTAGCTCATTCACTGCTCACAGCATTCAGCCAGCCGGGGTGGGGGAGGGGAGGACTGGAGCCACTCCTCCCTCACCCTGCTCTTGGGAAGAGATTGTTCCAGATTGTTCTCTGGGTAGGAAGGAGTTGGCACGAGCAAATTCTAGGATCACAGGGATCCCAAAGTGACTGAGTTCGCTTAGATGGGGCGACAGTCGTGTCAAGCACAGGTTTGGGAATCAGATCAGCCTGTGTTCAAAGCCTGGCTCTGCCGTGGGTCCTCGAGTCGAGTAACCTCTGCAGGCTGCCCCCCCTCCCCCCGCAAAAGTCCCTCGAACAGCAGAGGCCTTACAGGTGAGAAGCAAGGGCCACATGCGAGCAAAGCCTTGCACAGTCTGGCACCTGGGAAGCAGATGCTCCTGCTCACTCTCCTTACGGGGGCGGAGAAGGGGGAGGCCTGCAGGGTCCGCGCGCTTTACCTTCTCAGCGGTCAGCTCCAGCGAGTCAGAGCCCCTCTCCCTGGCCGCGCGGGAAACACTGAGCACCTCCTGTATGCACCCAGCACTCACCCCGCACTCTGTAGTGCCCCACCTGCTGCGATAACTCCCCTCAGCTCACTTCTGCCCCAGCCAGCAAGGCCTCGGGTGTGGGGCGAGGGTGGAGACCCCCAAGGCCAAAGGGTGGGAGAGGCACGGAGGAGCATTCGCACAGCACTTGTCCTCCCTGGGGAAAGGGCAGCG